CGGGATGGACTTTCCCTGGGCGGCCGGGGGAGAGGGAGCTCTGGCGTGGGAGGCCAAGACTGTGACGTCTGATCAGGCTCACTGTGGTTCCTGAATCCTAAGCAGCTGGGCCTTCACTCCCTCTGAAGATGTGTGGAAACACCACAGGCAGTTCACAGGAACCATTTCCCACTGGCCTCACCTCAGAACAAGCCTTCCTTGTTCAGGGACGGGCAAGACTCAGGAGGTGCAGTCCTCAGCATGGTCCTGCCGCTCCACCACTTCCTGTCCAGGCCACTTATTCATCACTAGCCCCGTCTCAGATGCTACTCTGGGCCTTGGGAAGGTGAGCGGCTAGGGCTGCCTCCTCTTTTTTTTTTTTTTTTTTTTTTGAGATGGAATTTCGCTCTAGTTGCCCGGGCTGGAGTGCAATGGTGAGATCTTAGCTCACCACAACCTTCACCTCCCAGGTTCATGTGATCCTCCTGCCTCAGCCTCCCGAGAAGCTGGGATTACATACATGAGCCACCACGCCAGGCTAATTTTGTATTTTTAGTAGAGACTGGTTTTCTCCATGTTTCCCAGGCTGGTCTCAAACTCCTGAGCTCAAGCAATCCACCTGCCTTGGCCTCCCAAAGTGCTGGGATTACAAGCATGAGCCACCTCGCCCAGCCATGGCTACCACCTCTTAAATCTGCCACCCACAAAAGCTCACAGAGAAATCAAGGCCTTGGCTGGACCCAGGGAAATGATTGTTACTTTTATTGTGTGCCAGTGATTATCTACTCTCAATATCTTCTAGATAGTGGCCAGGCATGATGGTTCATGCCTGTAATCCCAGCACTGTGGGAGGCCGAGACAGGAGTATCATTTGAGATCAGAGTTCAAGACCAGCCTGACCAACATGGTGAAACCCTGTCTCTACTAAAAATACAAAAAAAAAAGAGCCAGGCGTAGTGGTGCATGCCTGTAATCCCAGCTACTAGGGAGGCTGAGGTATGAGAATCAGTTGAACCCAGGAGGCAGAGGTTGCAGTGAGGCAAGATCATGCTGCTGCTCTCCAGCCTGGGTAACAGTGAGACCTTGTCTCAAAAAAAAAAAAGAAAAGAAAGAAAGAAAAAAGAGGCCAGGCACAGTGGCTCACACCTGTAATCCCAACACTTTGGGAGGTCAAGGTGGGCAGATCACAAGGTCAGGAGTTTGAGATCAGCTTGACCCGCCTCCAATAAAAATACAAAATTAGCCGGTGGTGGTGGCATGTGCCTGTAATTCCAGCTACTCAGGAGGCTGAGGCAGGAGAATCACTTGAATCTGGGAGGTGGAGGTTGCAGTGAGTCAAGATCATGCCATTGCACTCCAGCCTGGGCGACAGAGCGAGACTCCATCTCAGGAAAATAAAAGAGGCCAGGCTCGATGGTTCATGCCTTTAATCCCAGCACTTTGGACTTTGGGAGGCCCCAGGAAGGCAGATCATGAGATCAGGAGATCAAGACCATCCTGGCTTAACATGGTGAAACCAGTCTCTATTAAAAGTACAAAAAAATTAGCCGGGCGTGGTGGCAAGCACCTGTAGATGCAGCTACTCAGGAGGCTGAGGCAGGAGAATCGTTTGAACCCGGGAGGTGGAGGTTGCAGTGAGCCAAGATCATGCCACTGCACCCCAGCCTTAGTGACAGAGCAAGACTCTGTCTCAAAAAAAAAAAAACCTTCTAGGTAGGAATAACTGTCTCCACTTTACAGATGAGAAAATGAGGTCTGGGGAGGTTAAGAAACAACACACTAAGCTAGTAAGGGGTGTAAATGGGACTCAACCCAACAGCTCCACATCCCAACCCACTGCAATAGATACTTCACTACATTCTTGGTCACAAAGCTCCTGAGGGCATGCCTGGGCCTTTCACTTCTGCAGGCGTCCCTCCCGAGAGTGGAGCACAGTCATGGGAAGTTGTAGCAAATGGCTCTCACAGGCCTTGGAGTCTCACTACCTGGGCTTCGGCTTCCTCATCTGTCAAATGGAGATAACATTCACCTTCTTGGTGGCTAAATTAAATGATATCATCTAAGCCCTTGGCACATCCACATGGACTCAAAGAGGGTTTCAGGGAGCAGAGACAAGGAGGCAGCCGGGAGGGTGGCTGGGGAATTCCCAGCTGTCCTGGGAGTTCTGTTCCCTGCCGAGAATAGGACAGAGTGAGTAGAGCAGTTGGCCGGGTCAGAGGTCTCGGTAGGGAGGCTGTGATGGAGAAGCTGGGCACTCATGAGCCTAAGCATTGTTCTGTGGGTGACAAGGCCCATCGCCTCCCCATGACATGCCAGAGAGCAGGAGAGAGGACTCTCCCCAGCTAGTCAGTCTTTGGTCTCTGGGCCAGGCTGCTAGGAGGTCTGACCTCCTCGTTACTGTGGAAGGGGTGGGCCCAGAAACACGGATGACCACCAGAAGAGGAAATGAAAACATCATCTGCTTTGAAGTCAGGCCGAAGAGGACAAGCAAAGCTGACTCCTGGCCCGGGAGGCTGGAGTGGCTGTTTCCAGGCCAGGCCTCCCTGGGAGAGGGGCCCTGGTTGGAATTTAGGGACTGAGAAGAGCAGGAGAGGGTGAGATGCCACCCAACCCCTACCCCGCTGAGGGGCACCAGGGCAAAGCGGCCACACCCCAGACTCTGAAGCACAGTGGGATCCGGCCTCTGCCCCTGGCTAGGCTGCATGGCCTTGGGCAGAACATTTAGTATCTGTGTCTCTGTGTCGGATGTGAAAGGGGGCTGTGCTGTCCATCCCTCATAGAGCTGTCACAGTTATGAGGAACAAATGATTCCTACTTGTCAGGAAAGCTCTTGGAACAGTGCCAGGCACATAGCACAGAAAACACCACCTGTCCTCAAGGCTGCTTATTCCTGCCCCGGTGGACTCATCTGGGCCTCCCTGGGGCTGCTGGAAAATGCTCACAGCCCAGCCCCTGGCCTTCAGGGCCTCCCCTCAGCCTCCCCTCAGCCCCTCATCTGCTGTGGGGTTGACAACAACCATGGAAGCGCCGCCCGCAGACAGGACCAGGTTCCCACCCAACCAAGGACCAGGTTTGGCCACGACTGAAATGTCCACAGTAGGGGCTCCAGCTTGTCTGATGGTGGAGGACCACTGCCCGTCTCCTCACCCTCAGCACAGGTCTGCTTTTGCCCATGAAGATCCTTCAGAGCCAAGTGAGCTCCTGATACCTGAGGGGGGCCGGGGAGTGCTGCGTAGAGAAAGGCAGGTCCCTGGCTAGGGCTCCACCCCACAGACCTAGGTGAAGACCAGCACTCCTGCCTTCCCACCCAAATGTTGCATTTCCCAAGCCCACCCTGTTCTGCCACGCCCCCATCCTGTGCCTATAAATCCCTGAGGCACAGAACAGGCTGGATGTCCTGAGGAACACATAGAAGACACCAACGGCGTGTTGTCAAGAGCATGCCGGCAGAAGATCACGCCCAACAGGCAGCGGCAGGCGACCAGCCATCGACCAGCAACAGAACAACTCAGTTTGACCAGAGCGCTCAGAGAAGAGTCAGCCGCTGAGTGGCCCAACTGCATGGGAAAACCATCTCCGTTCTGACCCCCACTTCTGCTGAGATCTACTTCTGCTCAATAAAACCTTGCACTCATTCTCCAAGCCAATTCTTCCAGTACACCAAGGCAAGAACCCCGGGATACAGAAATCCCTCTGTCCTGTGATAAGGAAGGGGATCTAACTGAGCTGGTTAACACAAGCTGCCCACAGAGGGCAAGCTAAAAAAGCACCCCGTAACGCACACCCACTGGAGCTTTAGCTATCAACATTCACCCCTAGACACTGCCGTGGTGTTGGAATCCCACAGCTTGTATGCTCCCCTAGAGGTTTGAGCAGCTGGGCACTGAAGAAGTGAGCCGCATGCCCATCACACGCACTTCCAGGGGGACAAGGGAACCTTTCCCATTTCACTCCCACTAAGTCTCCTCAGACCCACCCCACGTCCACCGCAGCCTCCATGCCCAACGCTCGTTCCTAGTTAAGAACTCAGCTCAAGCCCTTCAAGCGTTGTTAATGGTCCTTGGATTTGTCGGTGGGACCAAACGATTTTCTCATGCAAGAACAAGGAGGGACCACAAGCTACAGGTGGGGGCAGCAGAAGAAACACTCAGTGCCAGGGACCCCAGGTGCTGGCGGCCGTGAGTGTGGCAACCTCTCCAGACAAGCTTCTCGTGGCCCTCTCCTCACGCTCCCTGGAGCATTTTCCACTTTCCTGAACAATCAGAGCCCCCAGGCCCAACAGTTCTTGGATTCCAGGCCCATGAAGGGACCCCTGGGGCCACAGCACAAGGGCACCAGGGTCTAGTGGGAGAGACCTGGTCTGAAACTCAGTTCCATCTGCTTCCTGCCCTGACGCGGCGCCGCCTACACTCTTGGTCCGTGAAGGACTCTGATCCTTCACGACTGAGCCCCCGTATCTCTACCACGGCAGCGTCATCCGCAGCCCCATCCTCCCACCAGGACTAGGAAATACTTCCAAACCAGTCACTCTGTCCAAATGATGCTTTCGAGTTACCCAGGACACAGGGAGAATTCTCATCCCTGGAGCTTTAAGTACTTTCTTGTCGTTGGTGCTGCCCTACACAGGACCCAAGCCACTCCAGAGCCTCTCTCCCTCCTGCCCCAGAGATTTCTCCCTCTTTACTGGCTAAATGGACAAATGTAGAACCTCCTCAGAATGGGAAATATGATACAATGCATCCAATGCTTCGCGAGGGCCTGATAAGCTTTAATCTGTCCCATTATCCTTTAGAAATGGTCATTGAACTGGAAGTTCAGATTTGGAGAGGGGACATGGAGAAAATTCCATGGCGTCTCTAGAAAAAGGACAGCAAGAAGGTTTTCACACTACAAGGATGTCAGCTGTTTCCCACAGCTCCAGGAACAGGATGGAAAAGGGGCTTCTAATCCCCACACCCAGGCCCCCAAAGAATACGTAGCTGAACCCAAGGGGTGCCGGTCTCCCCACCCAAGGGCCTTACCTGGGTGTGCCGGGGCCTGGCTGGCTCAGGAGGTGCTGGTCCGTGGGGCATGTGGCTGCTGCACACCCAACCACCCTGACTGGCAACAGACGGCCTATTTTTAGGGTCAGATCTGCTGACGCTGACCTTGTGTGCTGTCCAGTCTACGAGGAGACCTATGACATCTGCTTGCAAAATGATTCACCAGTGAGACCTGAAACCCTTGACTTAGGCAGCCCTGTACCTGGAGCCCATATGCTTGTCCCCAGCCCAGCCACAGAGGCAGGACATGTGGCCGCCAGGGCAGGGACAGACGGGAATTTTCCAGCTTTGTTTTCCCGGGATGGATGAGGCCAGGTGTCTGCAGGCCCTGCCCTGAGCCCTGTTCCAGAACAGCTAGAACAGGGGAGGTTTGCCCACTAGCACAGAGCTCATGGGAGGGCCAGGGTGCCCAGCATGGGAAGAGCTCTCTATTCCAGCCTTTTCCGAGACTTTGTGGAGCCATTTCTGAGAGCCCAATGGAATGGATGCCACATCACACAGGGTGATCCATGAAACTCTGAGAAAGACTCTAAGCTTGGGAGGGTTTGTGCTATGTGGCTTCCAGTGAGACCCTAGCACACACACAACCATGCTGGGCTTCGGTGAGGATAATGATCATAATATCCTCCTCCTATGTTGCTACAAGGACTAAATGAGATCAAGAGTGGAGTGGTATTAAAATATTTAACAGTCTGCAGTGAGCCAAGATTGTCCCACTGCACTCCAGCCTGGGTGACAAAGCAAGATTCTGCCTCAAAAAAAAAAAAAAGAATATTTAAGGTTACCCATCATTAACAGTCATCCCAAGGTCTCTCTTCTTGGCCCTTTCTTCTGTCAACCTCCCTCCTCAATGGCTCTAGTATTCTTTGCTCTTGGATCCCCCCACCAAGCCCTACCAATGTAGCTACCCCTTTTTAATACAGATGGGCAAAATCCTACCCAGTCTCCTCTAATTTTCTAGTAAAATCTTTCCAGGGCTTGCTACAGGTCCTTATAATGAATGATGTGGTTCTCCATTCACATCCATCCTTGTCACCCTCTTTGGGGCATGCTTTAGTGTGTGAAGGACTGGGAAAAGTAGGGAAGGAGGCACCAGGCTCCCACATCCTTCACTTAACACAATCTTCTTGCCTTGGGGTCATTATGTTGTCCTCTGCAACTTTATTCAGCAAACCAAAGATCTTCCTCACAATTTGATACATTAACTACTGCCAGTTTTATTTCTAGTGATTATTTCTACTAGTACTATTCATTGCAAAACTACTAAGTGACTTAGCTCTTATTGATTTCTTGGTGTGAAGAAAATTCCCAAGGCAAATACACAGAATCTGAGTGTACAATGAAGACAGAATGTCAGAGTCCAAATATCTCTGCTGTCAAGTGCTGGAGTCAAAACAGCAAGGTTGAAAGGCCCTCTGCACTTACCCCAAGAACTATGGGAGTCAGAGATACTGGAATTGACAAAGAGAGAGAAGGGTTTCTTCTTAGCTGGGAGCCTAGGGGGCAGCCCCAGCCCCAGTCAAGGGCTGAGGAAGCAAGAGGGAGCTCTGAAGATGTAGGTTCAGCAGGGAGCAAAAATCAAATATTTAAAGCATCTGAGCAAGCTAGATAATTGAGAGAGAGAATATTTCACACCATCCAGGAAACGTTCAATGACTTAATTTACACAAAGCCAAGAGGAGAATTTGGTGGGCTGTTGGATTATCACCTCCAGTAGAGTAGAACCTAAATGTGGTTGACCAGAAGACTGATGACCCCTCCTCCAATCCTTCACTAATCAAAATAGGCCAAAAAGAGGGTGACAAGGATAGAGAACCAGAGGCTCTTAGTCCCCTGTGGATACCTGAATATGCATGGAGGTTGAATCCAGCTGGAGCCCAGGGGAGAGGCCTCCCTACCCACCCAGAGGCCAGATCCAATAGCTGTAAGTCTGCACTTCTCTCTTCCTTCATATTAAAAAAAAAACCAAGCAAAGCAAGAGAAACGGAGGCCCATGTGCTGCAGGAAGTCTAAAGCCCTCTCCAACATCTCAGAGGACTGTTTTCCCCCTGGGAAAGCAATAGTAGGATGGCTCTTATTTCTCCAAAGTCAATTCTACTGTGGCCTCTGAGTCCTGCAACTTCATTCCAAGCTTGACACCACCAACTTCTATTACTCCTCCATCACTTGCCCAAGGCTTTGTGTGGGGCAGAGGGACTGCACAGAGAAGGAGACAACTCCACATTCAATGTTCAACCCCCCCATTCTTTGAAAACTATTGGCTGGGCTCCATCTCCAAGGCCTGTCTGTGTACTGCCGTGTTCAGGAGGCTCCTCTCTGTACGTGCAATTGTCACAGCCCTCCTTTTTCTTCAGTTGTCATCTCTCGCCTCCCGTCTAGAGCTGAGTGCCTCAACAGGCTAGAGAGTCCTCCTATTACCATGCAGAGCAGCTCAGCTCCAGCTCCCTCTTAGCCTCAGTCTCCAAGGCAGGCTAAGCCTAGGGTGCCCCCGATTCTCATTCAACAAGCCCACCCAGGCATTGTCCTGGAGAAGACACCTATTCAAGAGGGGAATATTTCTTTTTTGAGACAGAGTCTTGGTCACCCAGGCTGCAGTGTAGTAAGTGCAGTGGCGCGGTCTCAGCTCACTGCAATCTCCAACCTCCTGGATTCAAGCCATCCTCCCACCTCGGCCACCCAAGTAGCTGGGATTACCGGTGTGTGCCATCATGACCGGCTAATTTTTGTATGTTTAGTAGAGGTAGGGTTTCACCATGTTGGCCAGGCTGGTCTCAAACCCTGACCTCAGGTGACCCACCTACCTTGGCCTCCCAAAGTACTGGGATTATAGGCATGAGCCACCAAGCCAGGTCAAGAGGGGAACTTTTTAACTCTTCTGAATAGAACCATCATTAGACCCTGGAAACAAGAGACCCTGTCCTTGTGTTTTTTTAGAGGACCCACAGGTTACAAACATAAACACACTGAGATACTGCTACATACCTATCAGAGTGGCCAAAAACAAACAAACAAATGAACAGGAAACTGCCAATACCCAATGCTGGTAAATATAGCAAGCCTTGTCCCTACAAAAAAAAAAAAAAAAAAAAAAAAAAAATCCGGCTTTGCTGGAACTGTTCTGTAATCTTGCTCATGTTGGTGGTTATAGAACTAGATGCATTTGTCAGTAAAGCTGCTTACCAAAAAGAGTTGATTTTGTTGTATATACATTTAAAGTAAGAATACCTGGCCAGGTGTGGTAGCTCATACCTGTAATCCCAGCACTTTGGGAGGCCGAAGTGGGTGGATTACCTGAGGTCAGGAGTTCGAGACTAGCCTAGCCAGGATGGAGAAACCCTGTCTCTACTAAAAAATATATAAATTAGCCAGGCGCGGTGCCAGGCACCTGTAATCTCAGCTACTCAGAAGGCTGAGCCAGGAGAGTCACTTGAGCCCGGGGGGTGGAGGTTGCAGTGAGCCAAGATTCAGCCATTGCACTCCAGCCTGGGAGACAGAGCGAGACTCTGTCTCAAAA